AGAAAAGAAAAATTAGAAAAAAATGATATATATATTATATATATATATATATATTATATTATATATTAATATAATATAGTATATATATATAATATATAATATATAATATATGTATATATATATATATATAATAATATATATATACATATATATGTATCTATCTATCTATCTATCTATCTATCTATATATATATTATATATATATATATATATATATATATATATATATATATATATATACATATATATATATATATATATATATATATATATTATATATAATATATATATATATATATATAATATATATAATATAATATATATATATATATATATATAATATATATATATATATATATTAATAATGTATATATATATATATATATATATATATATTATATATATATATATAACTTTATGTATGATGTATATATATATATATAGATTAGATAGATAGATAGATAGATAGATAGATCAGATAGATAGATAGAATAGATGATAGATAAAATAAAAATAAATAAGTAAATACACCACACACACACCACACACACACACCACACACACAGACACACACATGTGTGCAGTAGTGTGTGTGGTGTGTGTTGTGTGTGTGTGGTTTGTGTGTGTGTGTGCTGTGTGTTGTGTGTGTGTGTGTATCACCTACACACACCACACGCATACATGCATCCACACACACACACACACACACTACAACACATTCACACACAAACAACACAGCACAACACACACACACACACAACACACACAGAATGTGTGTGTGTGTCTGTGTGTGTGGTTTGCGTGTGTGTATGCGTGTTAGTGTGTGTGTGTGGTTGTGCTGTGTGTTGTGTGTGTGTGTGTGTGTATGTGTGTGTGTATTTGTGTGTATGTGTGAACACGCGTGTATATTTTTTTTTTTTTTTGGAGAGGAGGGAGGTCTGTAGTGTGTAGTGAACTCAAGGATAACTTATCTAGGGCGTTTATTCTTTTATTATCAATGTGCGTTATAAGATGCAATTTCTTACGTTTTATATATATATATATATATATATATATATTATATATATATATATATATATATATTATATATATATATATATGAACAAACACAGGCCCACATAAAAAGCACAAACCCGCAAACACGAGTATGCATATATTCCTAAACTTGCTAACGTTCTTCGTCGTTTGGCCTGGACTATTAAGCATCTGAGCCCTGCCATGAGTCTCGTCTTTCCCGTTTTATATTACTTTGCTTTGGTAGAAGAGAATGAGGAAGAGCGGGAGGAGGAGGAGCTTGTCCCCGAGGAAGAAATAGAATCCCTCATTTCCCACAAATGGCTGAGCCAAAGGCACATCGATGACGCCAGCCTGTTGTTCCTCGCTCAGTTCCGTGATATGTATGGCCTGTTATTTACAAACGGACTGTGCGATTCGGACGATTCCGATGAGCCGACCGTGCAGATCGTCCAGCGCGCCAGTCGCCGCGGGCCAGCCGTTTACACCTCCCACTGGCTCACGTAGACGATGTCACGGCGAGGGATTCCTACGAAGGCGTCGAGTGCGACTCCTCCAGCGAGAGTAAGAACAGGAAGCGCTTATACGTGCGCCATCGCCAGGATCTCAGCGCTACTTTCGTGAACGTCCACGAGGGAAATAACCAGGCGCGCGCAATGATGGCCTTCGTCTTCGCCATCAGCGTCGCCTATGGGGAAGACCTCGTCGACTTCACCTGCGACTACGAGAGAGTGGCGAAGCATCTGGCACGCTGCTTCATGGACAGATAATTCAGGCCTTTCCCCAAGAGCGCCATCCGCTGCCATCCCTTGACCCTCCGCTCGCAGGCCAACCTGAAGTCAGTCACCGTCGACTTCACTTACTAGCCATCTTCTGCCCTGGAGCCCTTCGCCATCGCTGCCGTCGGCGGGAGGCGTCGAGGGAGGCTGAACTGAACCCGCTGAGCAGGTCGCAGCCACAGGAAGGACNAGAGAGAGAAAAGACATACGACAGACAGACAGAGAGCTTCACATTAAAGACAGAAGAAAAAAAAAAAAACGATTCCCTTTCCATATGACAAAGTTTTAGGCCTCGTAAAATGTGACAAAAAAAACATCGTCTTATATAACGAAAAATATATATGAAGAAGAATGATGATTAAATGTAAATTTCGGAGAGTCGCTCAGAAAATATCCATTGGTACAAAACAAAACAAAAGTCAGGACATTACAGAACGAGAGCAAATGAAACATAACTATTGATACTCAATTGGTAGGGATTGTTTAGAAAAAAAATTACAAATTTTTAAAAAGGGACAAAGAAATATAGAAATATTTATAATATGGACATTCTCGTAAGGATTGTTATAACGTTAAAAAGGAGGAGCTTTATCGAAAACGAAAATTCTAGTCTTAAATACTTTATATAACAATGGAACCAGCTGATACGTGTCAGAATATACGTTTGAAATAATAAAAAGAATAGGTCTCTGATTTAAATGAGAAATT